ATGGATTCCAGTCAAAACATAGGTGCACAAGAGATTATTCAGCATCTCCAGTGGAGGAAGAACCCTCCCAGCCTCCTTTAGCTATGATACAGCTTTTCCTTGCTCAGTTGGTGGTGATACCAAACAACCACAGGTTGTCCATGTGGGTAGCTAACATAGTGGCACTTTTGTTTTCTGATGGTTCAGTGACACTTTGTTTCTTACACAAAATTTTAAAAATATTCAGGTTGTGTGTATGAAATGATAGGAGACATAAATGAATTTCATGTTTAAACTTGGGTTCCATCCCCAAGATATCTCATTACATATATGCTAATATTCCAAAATTCATAAAAATTCAAAATCCAAAACATTTCTGGTCTCAAGCATTTTGGCTAAGGGATACTTAACCTATACATATTTTCACAGATTTTTAATACATTTTTCTTACCCTGTTTATTTTCTAGTTTATCCACTGAGAAGTTCACTTTATTAACTGCTGTGTTCTGTCTTATATTTAATTATGTTGCTAGTACAAATAGTAGGATGATAATAGTTAAAATTTTGTAGCCTGTGACATTTTTGTGGTGGTATATGGAAGGTAAGAACTGTGGATTTATTGTTAACAGGAGTGAATTCTAAGATAGAAAGTTGGAGACCTTCTGGCTTATTGGAGAGAATTTAGAGGAGGTTACGGAATCCATCCAATAAATGGCAGAGGCAAAAGAGAATATAAGTAGACTTCCATATAAAATTTAATAAGTTATTCTATAATGTGATCATAAACTATATTTCAGACAAACACCTGGATCAATATTTGTTCCAGCTATTCAGTGCATTACATATAAAAAGGTTTTAATATGATATACCTAATTAAGAACATATGAATTGTTCTAGAAATAGCCCTGAAATTTATTTCATTATTTATTTATTAATTTATTTGTTTATTTTGATTTGGGTTCTCACTCTGATGCTCAGGCTGGAGTGCAGTGGCATGCTCATGGCTCACTGCAGTCTTGACTTCCTGGACTCAGGCTATTGCCTTAGTCTCCCAAGTAGGTGTGCCTATATAGGCATGCACCACCATGCCTGGCTGATTTTTTGATTTTTTGTAGAGACAAGATCTCTCTCTGTTGCCCAGACTGGTCTCAAACTCCTATCCTCAAACAGGCCTCCTACCTCAGCTTCCCAAGGTGCTGGAATTATAGGCATGAGCCACCATGCCCAGTCCTGAAATTAATTTTAAAAGGACTGATGTCGGAATCCAAAGACACACAGATAAACATCTGGGTGTATTTTATACCTGTTTCCTTTTGGAAATGATGTGGTGTAATGGAAGTATCATAGCCTTTGGAATTATGCCTCGATTTTAATCCTAAATTTGGTACTTACTAAACTACATGGCTGTGCATAAATTTTTAAATCTTTTGCTTCAGTTTCCTGAACTGTTTAAAAATAAGAATGATAATTCCTGATTGTGTTGCTATGAAGATTAAATTAATATATGTGTATATCTTTACTTTTAGAGTTTAGAATTATCTTAAAGGTACAAAATTTGAGATTCATTAAATGCATAGTTTATTTTTACGAAGATGTCAACCATTAAACGGTGGTAAAATGCATGGGCCTTATTTATGATCAATTTACAAATTTGCTCTACCATTTACGACATTGTGCTGATTACTTCTTGACCCTTTAAGCCTAGTTTTCTCATATGCAAAATGAAAAAAATACATATATCAGATTGCTGAATTGGTAAAAGAACAACAATAGTGAATATTGATTAAGCACTTTTCACACATTTTTACACTTAATTCTCATAAGGACTTTTTGAGTTATGTACCATTGTTGCTATGTTATAGATGGGAAAGCTAAGACTGACAGATGGTAGAGCCAAGATTCCACTCCACATCCTTAGGCTCACAAGCATTTATCCAATGTGGCTATTAAATTTTTGCAGGGTTTAGTTAACACAAAGCAAATGCTTAATAAATTGCAGCTGCTCCTGCTGTTATATTTTAATGCTTTTGCTCAAAGCACTCACTGTGTTCTGTGATAGGATTTTGTGATGTGTAGGACTATAATATTACCCCCGAAGTATAGATTTTAGTGAAAATTAAAAGTTAGAATCTCGTAGATACTAAATCCTCTTTCTCTATGAGTATACATAAACATGTATTTATAATGTATACATGCACACATTATTTTAGCTACATACCTGCCAAAATTTTATAGCCATTATAGTTTCAATATCACATGATACATACATACATACACACACATACACACAGAAATATTCATATTAGGGATAATGCAGATGTGCTCATATTTAGAATGGCTAATTATAAGATTATTCAGACCTGACTGTTTTTTATACAGATCTAAGATTAAGTCTTACTGCTGCTCATAAGACTTTACTGAATAATGAGCTTGTGCAGAGTTAGTCTTTCTGAACTTCACTAGCTGGTTCTTGAATTTGCACTGAATTTTTCGCTGCATTTTAAGTACCTTTTTTCTTTAATAAATTTTTATAAATTTATGAGCTATTGGAATTATATTTGATTTTTTGACAACAAATAACATACACAAATATATATATTTAAAATTCTGCCACTGCTGTTGATAATGATAAGAGCCTCATTCCTATTTCTTTACTTGTAAGATTGTTACCATTTATAATAATTGAGAAATTGTTTTGTATAGATATAGGTTGTTTAGATGAACTTGAACAAAATGCTTCTATGATTATCTTGATCTCTAAATTATAGCTACTATTCTTTTAGTCATTATGGTTTTATTCAGGAAAGTACTAGGCTTTTTTCCCCCTCCTTTCCTGATGCTATGTCTCTATTGTGGATTTGTATCTGTATTTAATCTCCGACTCAAGGGAGGGGACAAAATGCTACATTCAAAGGTAAAAGTTTCTAACTAGGCATCAATATATTTATATAAAGTAGAATGATAACTTGAAATGTTTAACATATTTAAGTCTGGCAAAATTATGTGAACACAATTTGTTTTCTGTGTTAAGTCACATTTGGTTTTAATAATTAGATATTTTTACCAATTGAGATAAAGCTGTAAAATTTCATTATATCTGGCATCTTATTTAAATAGCGTTTGGAAGGTGTGTATTTTTTTCTGTGTGATCTTCACGTATATTTTGCCATTCCACTGTAGGCTTGTAACTAAGAGTATATTTCATTTTGGATGGAGTGAAACTGAATGTTGTGAATTTTTTTGTTTGTTTTTTTACCCATCCAGTCTTTGGCTTAATTTGGCAAGCCAACATTTGATAATTTACCAGAAGAGGAATCATATTCTTTATCCTATTATAATAAAACCTCTCACTAATTCAGAATTTATGATACTTCAGATGCAGAATTTGTGAACTTTTTTGAGTAAAAAATTCAAAATAATTTCTTCCTCTGAATTTTCAGGGTCATACTTATAAGGGGAAACCTGTCTAAAATCACTAGCTTATCAAACCAAGGGCTCAAGAAATGAAGGATTCCTTCAACGTGCCTTCAACCTCTGGGTCCAGCAGTTAATTCTTGTATGTTAAAGGATTTTTATATTTATGGTACATTTTAAATATAATATTGGCCTATTTTGAAATATAATGTAGGTAACCACACTTTTATTGTAGCATTTAGTTTAATCTATAATCTGTACTGCTTGAAGGTAACAAAACTGAACTTTTACTTAAATGTTCTGTATAATTAAGACTTTTTCAGTAAGTCATGTGCCCCACCTGTTCTATGCTATTCTGAATTAGTGAGGTTTTACTGTCCAAGTATTATAGATAGATACAAGTTTTTAAAAATGATAGTCATCTAGTTATAGAAAGGAAAGTAATTATTTAGGTCAATTTTATCCTACCTGGATGCTATTAAAGGCTAGATAAAATAGAAAGAATAAAGCAATATAAAATGGTTTGGTATTATTCTGTTTAACCTCCTAAAATCGGCAATGAAAATACAGAATAAAAAGTGTGTTTGTAGATTCATATATATATGTATATATCTTATATTACACACACTTGTTTAGAGTTACTATATGACAAGAGAGTGGCTTAGACTAGTTGACCTTTTGAAATTCCTTTTAGATGTACATTTATTCTATGTAAGGATTTTGAATCTTGATATAAAGGTCATTTTTTACACATAGTTTTTTTTATTAGGAAAAGTCAATTTCTCTCCTTATTTACACATTCCAAGCAAAAGTTTTTATATTCTGGAATGTGGTTTTTGATGCTGCGGTTAGATTGCTGGAAAATTCAAAGTCAAGTATATAAACCAGGGGTGGAGAAAAGGCCTAAAGCAAGCTTAATGGAGGAAATTTTAAGAAGAAGGAAGGAGGAAAGAAGGAATGAAAGCAGAAGGGATTGACTGAGGGTAGTGACTGGGGACAGAAAGAAGACCACAAAGCAGAGTGACTGAGGGTTAAGGTGGGACAGGAGAGATGAATCCGAGTAGGCCATTGAACTGTAAAATATTGAACAAAACTCTTTGGTCTTTATGTATATTTTTTAGTGTTCAATTAAATTTAGTAATGCTAATGGACAGTGTAGCCTTTCTAAGATCTATAGGAAATCTAATCACTTGTGATTTTTTTTTAATAGCTAGTACTAACAACATCACTAAGTTTCAAATAATTGTTAAATGACTTTGCATGCAGTTATTTTTGTGCAGACTAAATCTTCCCATATAAACTTTTGTATTTAAAATTTTGTTATTTCTATAGCTTGATGACCCATTTTCATTACGTAAGGTTTTATCCATAACCAAATCTTATCTCTGTTTTTATTGATTTAATGATATTTGCAAAGAGAAGTATATAGTATATCTTTTCAGAATTGCTTCTTTGCAGGTAGATTCTTAATCTATCATTTCTAACAGCTGCAGATTCTTCTTGCTTGTTCCTTTTAACACTTTTCTCTTGTTCTTCCATAATAAATTGATTTAAAATTGTATTTTGAAGATGAATACTGGCTTAATTACCAATTATAACACTTACAGATGGAAGTGGAGAAAGAGGAGAAAAGGATGCAAGCAAAATCACAACCTATCCGCCGGGCTCCGTTCGATTTGACTGTGAACTCCGGGCAGTCCAAGTCAGCTGTGGATTTCACCATTCAGGTAGCAGCTGGAACTTTAGGGTATAACTGCATTTTTACAATTGTGCTGAATCACTTATTTGCTTAGCTTTGACAAATGTAGTCTGTTAACCATCTGTTAAGAGCTATTGTGTGGCAATAGCTCTCAAATCTATAAGAGCTTGTTATTTATTATAGAATCTCTTTTAAGACCTGTGGCATGGTGGAACAGGTACTTGTCTAGAGATTTTACTTTTAGTCTGTTTTATGATGAACCTCTTTTATAATTCACTTCAAGAAATTTCAGAAGATGAAAGAATTCCTAAAATTGCTTTAAATTCTAAAATGGTGTGGTTTTTAGCATGTACCTGTATTTTAATATTCAGTTATAAACATGCATCAATTAATTTATTTTCTTAAAAATAAAGAAAAAACTTAAATTCTTAAAAAATTATTGACATTTGTATTAGGTAGCTTAGGTGGTACTATTCAATCTTTATAAAATAAAAAAAGTTAAATTCCTTCCTTGAGGAATATTCGATAAGGCATTGACAGACATTAAAGTTCTACCATTTCATGGTCGTTGTACATAACTATATAGAGCTCCAACCCATCTGCTCCCTGTGGTTATCTTAGATAGGAAAGGAAGATATTTTATTTGTATTTTCTTGTTATTAAGAAGATTTTACAGGCCGGGCATGGTGGCTTAGCCTGTAATCCCAGCACTTTGGGAGGCTGAGGTGAGAGGATTGCCTGAGCCCAGGGGTTCAAGATCAGCCTGGGCAACTTGGTGAGACCTTGTCTCTACAATAAATCACAAAAATTAGCCTGTGTGGTGGCATGCGCCTGTAGTTCCAGCTACTTGGAAGGCTGAGGTAGAAGAATTGCCTGAGTCCAGGAGGTTGAGATTGCGGTGGCTGTGAGCATGCCACTGCACTCCAGCCTGGGCGACAAAGAGTGAGACTCCAGCTCAAAAAAGTAAAAAAGATTTTACAGTTGACCTGAACCAGCATATGTTATTAAATGTTAATGTTATTAAATGGAATTTGTAAGCATTTTAAAGTATATATTATGAAAAAATTATACATTTTCATGACCTAGAAAAATATTTTTCAGAACTAAGATTATATTTATTTCTTATTAACTATAAATTTGTCGTCAGTTACTTATTTTAATTGTTCTATAAATCTGAAATAGTTAAAATTACATTACTTTCATTATAGTTGTAATAGAAAAATAAATTGCATGCAATGAAAAATAAAGCTTCGTATTTTGGTTTCAGTGGTTTTAATGGAAAATGGAGATGTCTATACATTTGGTTATGGGCAACATGGACAGCTAGGACATGGCGATGTCAACTCCAGGTACTCACAAAGTTCATTTGAAGATACTGGGTTTTTTTTTCTTTTCTTTTCCTTTCTTTCTTTTTTTTTTCTTCCTTTCCTTCTCTGTCTCTTTCTTTCTTTCTTTCTAAATAAATGTTTAAATATATTTCTATTTTAAATACTGTACATTTCTAGAATTTAAGTAATATTTATACCACTATTTTGCAAAGTGTGGTCCATGAATTATTGGTGGTTCTTGGTTTTGTAATTGAGTGCTTTTTTGGGAATAAAGGATTTTGTAGTTTGAGGTGAAGAGCTGATTTACATTTTATATATTTTAGATATGAGGTTGATTATGCTTATTACAAAATTCCAGTATATTTTTAACAATTATCTTTTGAAAGGTTGTAATGTTAATAGAAAAGACAGTTAATTTTTAAAAAATTTTAATATCAATAGATGCAATCATATTCCTTGGTGTTTTTAATTTTTTAATCTTTTTGTCTAATATTAACATTCAGTTATTGAAGCTTTTAAGTAATTTCAAACAGAACCTATTAGTCTCTCTGATGAGCTGTTTTGACGTATCCTTAATATGAATAGTAAAAAACCAGTTGTAGTAGAGACCACTGTTAGTCATTTCCTAATATTCATTCTTCCTTACTTCATAAGGAAGTTGATGACACGACCATGTAGCTAAAGACTACCTTTCTCAACCCCCATTGTGGCATGATGTGACCTTGTAAACTTAAGTGACAGGTGCTGCTTGGAATCTTGCTATTAAAGGGAAGGACTGCATCTCTCCATTGTACCTTTCCCTTCCCCCCTTGCTGGCTGGTGCGTTCACACAGAGGCAGGAACTAGAAAAGTCATCATAGAGGTGGAATGGCAGTTATAAGATAGAAATAGCCTGGGTCCCTGACACCATTAATGGCCACATCAGTTCCTTACCATGGGACACTAATGGAGAGACAAATAAACTTCATCTTTTGTGTCTCTTGCTTTGACTTTTATTATAACAGCCAAGTCCTTTTTCTACATAATACAGTTATAATTCTTTTAGTCAAAAGTAATAGAAAATTCATCTTTATTTGTTTATGTCTTCCAAGAAGCAGACACGAAGACAGGATCAGATGTGCAGAGAATTTATTAGGGAAAAACAATAAGAATAAATAGGGAGAGGCTCCAAATCCAATGTCAGTCTGATCCCTGTGAAGGAGAGAGGGGACTGGGTGTGGTGACTTATGTCTGTAATTCCAGAACTTTAGGAAGCCTAAGCAGAGGATTGCTTGAGGCCAGGAGTTTGAGATCAGCCTAGGCAAAATAGTGACTCCCTGTGTCTACAAAAATGAAATAAAATAATTAGCTAGACATGATGGCATGTGTCTGTAGTCCCAGCTGCCTTGGAGGCTGAGGCAGGAGGATCACTTGAATCTAGAAGTTTAAGGCTTATAATTACAGTGAGCTATGATTGTGCTGGGCAACAGTAAGGCCCTGTCTCTTAAAGGAAAAAAAAAATTAGAAAAGAGAGAAGGAAGGAAGTATTGGGTAGGAAGAGTCTAGATTTCAGTAGTGCTTTGAGAGGGTTTCAGCCAGCCCAATGGAATGTCCCCAAGCTGATGATGCCTTTGGAAGGATCTTGCATTGGGCAGAAGTGGATCAACTATTTACACCTTTACCGAGCTCAGTCACAGGCTGGTAGCATCCCAGGGGACAAATGGCCTTATGATTCCAAAGGAACAGCACCTGAGGCTGTCAGTAAACTCTGCTCCCTACAGCAGGTTGTCTTGAAGGAGATCTGAGTGACCCATATCTATGACTGCCCCACCCTGGAAACAGGCTTATTATTCATGAAGTCTGAAGAGGTGTAGGGCAGCTTCAGGCCAAACTTGACTCAGCAATTCACTTTGTTATTGGAACTCACTTTCTTTTTTTTTTTTTTTCATTAATC